CAAATGAATACGTTATTTGTTCTGATAAACATAAGTTTTGCTCAGTGAAGATGCCAGTTCTCCTCAGAGTTACAGACTCAATTATGTTGTGGCTCACAGCAGATTCTCTGTGACCTCTGAGCTGAAGAAAAGAGGAGCTTCAATAATTATTCAGTTATTAGCACAAAGCCACACACACACACACACACACACACACACAAGGATGTCCTTTAACAACCTACCAACCAACCACGCACACACACACTCCTCCTCCTCCACCCCCCACCCCCCACCCCCATTCTTCACGTCATCTCTCCCTCATCCTGCTTTCTTTCTGTGGCCGTGATTAATCCTCATTGTCTCTTCAAGGTTAAGAACACACACACACATTCATATTGCTTATGAGTCTCTATGACAACCACTGCGCCCACACCCGTCTCCTCCAAGCCAATAAATCTGAAAGCCAAGAAGCTTTTGTACGTGTGTGTAGGCATGTGTGACAGGATGCTCAGGAGACAAACAACAACAAGAAACCAGACAAATGAATTACTAAATCACTCTATTCTCCCAGTGCCAGCGTGTGCATGCCACCGTTTTCTTCTGGTCGCAGCGCTGTGTGTGAGGGAGGACATGCCACTGGACATTCACTGTGTGACTGATGAGGTAATATGGGCTCGAATGAAGGTAATTGCTGTGGCGGATTGGGCCTCGGGGTCTTTACTGGTTGCCAGGGGATGAAAGCGCACAGCACAGCTGGCCCGGCGAAGGTGAGCGTGTTATTCACCCTGATGTCGACAAACGTCCTTTGATCTCACCATGTTTGTTTGCAGGAGATGCAGGTGGAGGAGCTCAGCGCCGTCCGACAAGCGCTGCAGGCCGACCTGGAGACGTCCATCCGCCGCATCGCCGACCTGCAGGCCGCCTTGGAGGAGGTGGAGTCCAGCGATGAGAGCGACACTGAAAGGTAACTCACTTCAGCCTCTAGCTCTCCTCGGTGTAAACACAGCGGCGGTGCTCCAGATGGTATAAACAAGAAGAGCTGAACTGATTTGTCAGTTTACAGAAAATGAATTGTCAACTACTGTGATAATCGTCAACAGTCACTATGTTACATCTCCAAACATTTCACGACCCATTGTGATGGACGCTTGTCACTATTTCTGGAATTTTACAAACTGAACATCAGTTAATTATTTGAGAAAATAATCCACAGATTGAATCCAATATGAAAATGATCATTAGCTGCAGGATCAATATAATACAGGTAAAAATGAGTTCCACCTCCACCAGCTGCAGCAATACAATGCTGTTATATCTTAACAGCATCTGTAGTAATGATTTAATGATCCAATAGTACAACACGGGGCATTTTACTGCATCCAGTACTTTTAGTACCTTAAGTACATCTTTCTGACTATAGGTCCTTTATTTGTAATGTGTGCGATGTGGTATTAGTCCTTAACAAAGGATCCACTACTGAAACTCTGTGTGCTGTGCCTTCACTCCAGCGTTCACACTGCTGTGGAGCCCTTAACTCGAAAGAAAGACCTGTAAGAACCTCATGAATGTGTGTGTGTGTTTTCGTTGCCCTGTCTGGCTGCACAGGTACATGGGTGTTAAAATCCCTTTAAAGCATCTGTCTGTTATTCTGATAACTTTAAGATGTTCAGAGTGAATCCAAAGTGAGATGTGCGACATATCTTTAGACAAATCTGTGACAACAGCGTAGTCTTGGCTTTTAACCTGCACTTTGTGGTAGAAAATGATGCAAAGGGCTGAAACGACAAACTTGCTGCTTGTTGAGCTGCAGTCGTACGTTTGTGCACGCATGCTCACTGCAGCCAGAATGGAGGTGCATGTCTCCGGTGTGGCTGTAACAGGGTGGTAACACGTTACTTTGTTCTGCAGTGACTCGGTGTCCAGCGCCGGCTCTGTCGGCAGCAAGGATATGGGAGAGGGCATTCGTACCTGGTTAGGTCCTAGAGGAGGGTCCCGCGGTGGCGGCTCTCCTCACAGCAGCCAGGGGGGCCGCCAGTCTGTCGCCGACACCATGAGCACCTACAGCTTCCGGTAAGGTTTTCATTCACAGACGTGTATAAAGCTGGTGGTGGTATTTCATGATAACCAGCAGATTAATTGATAGTGAAAACAATCATCAGTTGCGGCACTAGGTGGATGTTAGTCGGTCATGTGGGCTGCTATGACGGATACAGTGTTTCTTCTGTTCCTCTAAAGTTCTTGTGTGGATCCTGATGACGAGGGTTCTGAGGCTGGGGGACTCGGTACCAGAGGCCTCGGTCGAGCGCCGTCCGTCAGAGCTGCTGGAAGGACTTCGTAAACGCAGAGCTGGTGGTGGAGCAGGAGAGGGAAGAGCCAGCACCGTCTCCCTGCCCATTTATCAAACAACCGGAGCCTCGACGCTCAGACGAAGACCCCCAGTCAACTCTGTGGGGCCGGAAGACGCCCAGGAGACCCGGCCTGGCCCCAGCATCCTGAAACCATCCTCTCCGCTTCTGCCACGTGCTGCCAGTGCTCGCTCCATCACTGACTCGCAGGCATCCGCTTCCGCCTCTACAGCTGGAGCCAAACTCTCCCGCTTCAGCTCCAGTGATTCCCTCTCTTCGCTTCCTTCACTGCCACGCCTCTCCTCGTTGACGTCCTCCCTCGCCGCTCCCCATCACCCTCCCTCCCTGTCCATCCCAGAGGAGTACTCAGAGGAACCACTTTGCTCCGTGACGACTCCCATCCAGCGCTCCCCTCAGCCACTGAGGCGGTGCATGCTGGGGAGTCTGGTCACAGAAAATGGAGGTGAGGGCTCTCTGGGTTCAGAGCCCATGATCTTCCAAAACCGTCGCCTGACCACAGACGACGGCCATGATGACGCAGCCTCCGACATCCTGCCCGCCATCCGGAGAGCTCAGTCTACCAGCAGCCTGGCCAGCTCAGTCAGAGAGGGCAGGAGGGCACTGAGCGTCCGCTTTGGAGAGCTGCCTCCTTCGAACCGCAGCAGGAAAGGCTCTGAAACTGAGTCATCCAGCTCAGGTGGATCAGGAGGTTCCCAGGGTGGTGGGTCAAGACGGAGGTTTGAAAAGCCACAGGGGGAAAGACTGGAGGCAGAGGGCAGCGAGGGGGGAGACGTGGCCTCAGTCATGAAGAGATACCTGAAGAAGGAGACTGACTGAACCAGATGAGGTGAGCTCTGCCATGCACGTGATCACTGAGGGGAGCCAGATCAGGACATTTTCACATTCCACACAAAGATGCTTCAGTTCAGTTTTGTCTTGCTTCAAGTTGTATTTGGATCAGGGTCAAGTTTCCCCAAAGCATCGTGCCTTTAAAATGATCTCAGAAATTCTTAGTCTAATGTTGCGGTCGCAGTATTAGCAGAGTGGGAGGAGCAAAGGAAACGGCCTTTGGTCCGACTCAGGGCCAAGGCGGCTAGCTCCAGAGCTGATCTCGTAGTCTCACCAGATAAACAGGCTACACAATCTAGTTGCCAAGTGAAACAGATTAAACCAGCTATAAACTAGTATTTGTCCAGACAGTGATGGTCCACAGAGGATGAATCCCACTGACTCTGTTGATGCTCTAAATCTGACACTAGCATCACCACGAGCTTGATATTTGTGGTTTTGAGCAAAATGTCCCTTCAGAATAAATGCTAACAACGTAGTTGATCCTCTGACTTTTATCCAGCTTCATCATCAAGTCGACATTTTAATTTGTCCAGTTGTTTGGTTTGTGACCGGATCCTGTACAATGAAAGTTGTACTTTGTGTTTAGGCTCGTAGAACAACGTCCTGATCTTTATTGTTGAACAGGGCCTTGGTTATTTTTAAGTCTGACTACACACTGACAGCACTGTCATGGCTGACAGGAGGTGTAGCGGGGTTCACAACTATCTGAGCTAGCTGTAATTTTACTCCCACTTCAACTTTCAGTGAAGTAATTCTGAGGTGTTTGATTAACGCAGGCCCAGACCTGTACTGTCTATGTAGCTGCCCCCCCCCAGGCCGTCCTTTCCCTTCTGAAGCATCTTGTCTTTGGTTTTCTCTCCCCTCAGCCTCCTTGTGTCCACATCCAGCTGTGAGGGAGACTGAAGACTGCAGGAGCTGCAATCAAGGCTGAATGAAGGACTTCAGAGGTCGAGGATGTTTCTTTTCACTCCCCATTCGATATTAAAGCCTCCTGAAAAAGCATTTGTTCCAACCACAAACGCTCAATCAGCTGTATTTTCGGATAAACACTGTTTATATATGAATAAAAACATAAGATGAACTTTTTGTGAATTTGAGATGTTATTTGCTCGCTGTCGTTTGTTCATCCAGTTATTCTGTGTAGCCGTGTCCGTAGCGCTCAGACTCGGTTATCTCGACAACCGTCAGATGGATTGACATGATATTGGTTAGAAACGTCCATAGTGCCCAGGGGGTGAATCCTAGCACCAGTCGTGATTCCAGACCTTTCCTCTAGCGCCACCAGCAGGTTTTCACGTATCCTGTCTAATACCACAGCATTTCCTCGATGGACCGACTCATTCTGATAGCTCTGGTGATCATATTGCTAACAGACTTATGAATCATAATACCAGCTAATCATCAGCTCACCAAGCCACTGGCGTAGACTCTGTATCAGTCTTGTCTTCTGGACCAGTTCCTCTGCTGGATCTCATTCAGTTCTCATCCAGTTTCATCCGGGTTTGGTAACACGCATCAGCTCAGACCCTGTGCAGTGAACTATGAATCCAGCTACTGTAAAAAGTATTTCAAAGTTGTATTTCATTAAAGAGAGATCCTTTGGAAGTGTTTACATAGAGGGATTATGAGGTAATGGGCCCCTGGCACAGGGCCCCCACCCCTCCTACAGTGGTGTCCCAGACTGAAAGAGACACAAAACCGCTACAAACAACACAAATGTGGCCTTCTTTTTGTATTTGCAGGAATTTTGTGTCTCTTTGAAGTATTTTTGCAACTCGTTGTGGTTGTTTTGAGTCTTTGTGGTCATTCTGCACCTTTTTGTTGTCATTTTGTCTTTGCAGTATTTTTGTGGCTTGTTGTAATGCATTGCTTTGTGGTCATTTTGCGTGTCTGTAGTAGTTTTGTGTCTTTCCAGTCATTTGAGTGACTTTCCAAAAAGAAAGGTTAACAGTCCTTTCAGACAGAGGCCCCATAAACCCTGGGGCCCCTGGGCCTCTGCCCCATAGGCCTTTTCACTAATAACCCAGGTTATTGATTCTGGTGATTAGACTCCCGGCTTGTGAAGCGCAGGCACAGTTGTGGTTGTTGGTTGCGAGTTAGCCTGACATCCTGGCAGTCGCGGTGGCGATGGGGAGGTGGTGGGAGAGGCAACAACAGCTTTAAAAGACAGAATGACAGCAAGGCTTTGTTATTTAAATAACTGATGGGCTCGACAGATGACGTGTAAATTGTGAATGCGTGGGAAAGTGGAAGTGATGGAGGAAGTTGCTTATTGTGGGGAAAGTATCTGCGTTATTGAAATTTATTTATATAGGCTTTATAAAAGTATTTATCCAGAGAGAGACCGTAGACTGACCTCTGTGTTTAACAGCAATGCTCTGCTTTGTATTCACACCGTCAGTCACGCCCGGGGAGTCGTCCACTGACATGCTGGACACGGCTGCTGGAGGAGTTCAGGGTAGGAGGACACACAGAGACTAGGAGAGTGTCTTCCAGCAGATTTGAGTGTTTAAAAAACCAGGAGGTCAACAGGCTGCCGTCTCCCTGGGGGGTGAAAAACTCCCAGTCAACAGCTGAGCTGAAACACTAGATGCACAAACCGTGACTCTGACCTTGTGTGTGAGGTCGGTTGCACAGACTT